TCTAGGGTTGGGACCTGGGCCAAGTTCTACCTGCCCTGGCCCCACTGACTCACCTGTACAGGAAAGGGGCTACTGGGAGTGCTGTGAACACCACACCCATGGGGTTGCTTTTCCAGGGTGGAGTGTGTGGACATTTCTAGCTGAGAAGCAGCAGGAAATGTGGTTCCCAAGTGTGAGGACACTCAGATTTCCGGAGCCCTCCCACTTCTGCTGCATCCTTGCTCCTTCCCAGTAATGAGCCCTGGGCTGGGGACATCCTGTCGCTTCCAGGAACTGCCTCCCTGGCCCTCTGTTGCCCACCCCAGTGCATCTGCAGCCAGAGACAGGCCTGGAACTTCCCAGGTCCGGGTTCCCGCATGTCTCCTGCACCACCTCTTCCCTCTTCCCCCAAGACACTCCCACCCCCAAGTCCTGGCAGAGAGGCCACACCCCGAACAAGGACCACGCTTTGCCCAGGCCTGGGTGCCTGAGTGTGCCTCATACAGCTTCTGAGGCCTGGAGAGCCCTTGGGAACAGCTGGGTTTTCAGATGGTACCCAGGGCCCCCCACAGACACAGCCCTGTGCCTGGCAGACTTGGATGTGGGCTGGATTTTAGGCTCTACCTCAGCCAGGTGGCCTCAGGGAGGGGATGGTTCTCAGAACTGTCCATGGGGATTCTGCTCAGCCCTGGGCTGTCTGGAGGAAGGGAGAAGCTCCAGATATGAGCTGCAGCCAGATCCAGAGTCTGGAAAACCCCAGGAAGTGGTGCCATGAAGTGTGTGTGTTTCTGTGCATACCCATGCCTGGAAGTGAGGTGTGTGTGGAGGGAGGTGTGTGTGTGTGTGTGTGTGTGTGTGTGTATGTCGGTGTACAGGTGTAAACTGCAACTAGCAGGTGCTATGGCTGATTAGGAAGGATGGGAAGGGACTGGATACCATATACTGAAAACTTATCTGATAGCTAAGAGTGTCTGATGCCCTTCTCCCAATTTCCCTGGTCACCTTGCAAGGCTGTTGTCAGCACTGCCAAGGCAGGTGATGCGATACCGGCAGCCCAGTTTCCAGCTCTGGTTATTATCTCAGCCTGCTTTTACAGTAGCTGCATTTAGTCTGGACTCAGGAAAGCAGAGAACAACTGATCTGTGTAGCCACTCATGGGGCCATTGCTTCTTCCAGAAGTGGGGTGGGATCTGGTGCTTAGGTTGGGGTGGAGGGTGGATAGGAAGAGCAGCAAGAAAACCAAGCACCCAAATGGCAAAGGGCAGTCTGAGGTCCAAAGATGAAAGAGGAGAGAAGGCAGAGGAACAGGCAAAGAATGGAAAGGGACAGGGACCAAGGAAGGCAGGAGTCCCAGGGGCAGGGTTGCCACATACAGCTGCACGGGCTGTGCACTGCACAACTGCGAGAAGCCCACTCACATAGTCAGTCACATAGTTAGTCTGGGGGTGCTCTTGAGGGCCTGGCTGGCAGATAAGGGTGAAAGATGGACTGTGATTAAGACTTAGAGTTGGGGTCTGTACAAAGTTGGACCATACAAAGTCATGTGATGGGTACCATTGCCCCTGCTATACCTGGGCACATGGAGGCTCAAGGAAAAAGAGTGACCTATTGAGATCCACGCAGGATCTACAGCCCAGGCCTCTGAGCTCCCCACCCAGGGTTCTTGGGACCCCAGAGACTGGAGCTATCTGGACTGACCTGTCAGGCTGCAGCGGCCTCGCAGGTACAGGTGCCACCTCCTTCACCTCCAGGTAGAACAGATTGGGAAGCTCTGGCTCTCCTGAACCTTTCCTGAGGAGATACAGGCTGCCCTTGTGGAACAGCAAATCCCCTGTAGGCCCACACTCAGGATGAGCCCCGATGTTAGGGAACAAATAGAAGGAAGCAGAGAGCCACCCAGGCTACCCCTCCATGGGGCTACCCCTGGACAGGGCAGTAGGGGAGTTACAAAGGGAGGTAGGCTGAAGAGAGAAGTGGTGGCGACATCCCTATATTCCCATGGCCTTGGGTTCTATGGTTGCAGAACCTCAACCCCTGTACCACCAAGGGCCCAGTGGTAGGGAGTCTGGGGCCCAGGTTGCCCAGACCCCCTTCACATGGAACCTTCCACGGACATCCCACTTTCATGGGTGGGTCACCAATTGCATGGAATGCTAACACAGCTCCCAAGGCCCCTCCTGCCTCCCTGCCTTCTCTCCCCTCTTCTTGCCAGGTCTCTCCTCAGCGAAAGGGGAGATAGTAAGGGTCAGGGCTTTCCTGCTGAAGCCTCCAGCTCAAATCCACATACCCCTGCTCACCCCAGGAAGAGAAGGTTCTGTTTTCTCTTCAGAACAGACTGCAGGACAGACCTGAGCAGCCTGCTGACCTGGGGGCCTCTCCCACAGCCACGCCTCCTCTCTACCTCCAGCCAGGGCTGGCTCATATACTAGCCCCAGCAGCCCCCAAAGAGCCCAGTCTGTTCTGTCACCTGCCGCTTGCCCTCATGAGAGAGCTATCTGCAAGAGACAAGCAATCTTCTCAGAGAAGCCAAGGCAGCTGGCAGGGGTTCTGGACAGAGGCCCAATTCTGGCACTAGTGGCCTGCACCTGGGCCAGTCCTGCAGCCCCAGGGCCCCTCAGCACCCCGCTTGGGAGCCCTGGCCTATCGCCTATGAGGCTTTGGGCTCCCCTCAGGGCTTGGGGGTGAATGGATGCCAATCTGTGCAGGCCATGCCCTTCATGGAGGATTTTTCTGCCCGCCCCCGCCACCCATATAGCAGAAGCCCATGGGCCACGGAGCACTGGGGCTGAGGAGCATGTGGAGGGAAGCAGGCACCTAAGGTCATTCAGGTGACAGTCCCAGCCACTAGCCAGAGAACCCTTGCCAGTCTAAAGCCTTTTCTTCCTGGAGGCTGACATCTGAGTGCTGATTTGGCTCTACCCCAGCTCCAGTATTGGGGCGGGTATGGTTCCATCTGCATTTTTTGCCAGTGATACAGCACATGGCACAGAGGGTAGGGAGGCTTCCCAGGGCACACAGCAGGCTGGGCTAGGGCTGGGGCAGGGGCAGAAGCAGGTTTTTAGTTTTTATAGCATCAGTCTAGCATTCCAGTGCTAGAAAAAAAAAAATGAGGATGATGGTGGATTACACTAATGTTTGCTGGGCACTTGCTATGTGCTAGGAAGAAGGTGTTTTACCTTTACCATTTCTTTCAGTCCTCAAACAACCTCATAAAGAAGGTAGAATTATTTTTCCTTATTTACAGATGAACCAACTAAAGCAAAGAATGCTGCAGCGTTCGCTCTGCTAGGAAGGCGCAGAGGCAGCACAGAACCCTGGCAGTCAGGCTCCAGCATTCTCTCTCCCAACCACCAGCTGGGACCTCCCTTGAGCAAATACCTATTCTCTGTCTGCAGTGAACAGTTTTCAAAGCCTTTTGACATACCCAGCTGCTCTTGTATGCTCTGGAGTATACACAGAACTGAAGTTTGCTCCCTGGGGGACAGCAAGCCCCCCGGGAACTGCAGGGACTTCAGAAGCAGTGTCTGGCTGGTGAATGAGGAAGAAAGGCAGACACTGATGTCTGCATTTTATAGGTGAGAAGACTGAGGCCAGCTGTCTCCTGCAGCAGACCGAAACCCAGCATGAGGCAGTGCTGGCTTGTCAAAGGAAGCAAGGCCCTGGGATATGGCAGCAAGAGAACACACTGAAAGGAAAGTAGTATGAAGCTACAGCCAATCTGGCAGGTGCTGCGCTTACCTCGGCTGATCCTCTGCTTCTCCCCAGAGAGGATGCCCGGCGTGTCGATGACACTGATGCTCTCCAGCACGGGGTTGGGCAGCTGGGCACACACGAACCTGCGCCGTGAAAGGAAACCTGCTGTGAGCCACTGTCCTCTCGTGCTGCTCACACACCCTCATCTCAGGCCCCCACCAACTTTTCCTGGCCCAGGGCAGAAGTTCAGAAGCCAGCTGCCTTCCAGGGCAGACTCCCAGCCTGGCCCTGGCAGAGGGCTCAGCTCAGAGGAGGCTCCCTGCGGGGTCTTGAGGTTCACATTTGCGAACCCCTGCTGTCGGGGCACCAAGATGTCCAGACTTCTATCCCTGCCCCCAAAGTGTGGGGAAGAGGCCTGCTCATGAGCAGCCACAGGATGAGGTGCAAGGGGACCAGCACCCCATGGGAGGTCAGAGGAAGGACTTGGGAGATCACAGGTGGAGAGATGGCTTCCTGGAGGAGGCAGCACTGGTGCTGGTCTTGAAGAATGGATCGGATCACCCTGGAACATTTCTCTGGGTTTCTAAAGGACCATCTGAATACCAACCATTGTATTTAGGAGTGAAGTCAAGTGTTATTCAAGAAAGTATTATTGTTACATCCCTAAGTCTCAAAATACAAATTGGTAAACTATGATCCTTCTTACCCCAAATCTCAATTACATTTTTGATGCGAGGCAACAAGGTATCTTACTATCACAACTACCCTAAGCCTCTGTTACCCAGTGACATGGCGACAGTCATGCAGAAGAATTTGAAGCACCTTGACAGCATCTAAGACTTCAAAAGATGACCACAATTTATCAGGCAGATGTTGGGGTATGAGCAGGTGCCAGGGTGTGTGTGTGTGTATGTGAGTTTGTGTGTGTGTTGGGAGTGGCAGAGAAGGCAGCATTCTAGATTGAGATAAGGGGTGAAAGTGCAGTATTAATAGGTTTAATTGAGTCCCGCAGAGATATGCTGACATCTTAACTCCCAGTAAACTTATTTGGAACAAGCAACCTGAGGGTTGTTAGAGTTACACTCAGCATGAAATCATACAAGAGTAGGGTGGGCCCCTAATCTGATAGGACTGGTGTCTTCATAATGCAGGAGAACACCATGTGAAGACACACACAGAGGAAAGATGGTCTCATGAAGATGGAGGCAGAGATGGAGGGATGTTGCCACAAGCCAAGGAATGCCTGGAACCACCAAGAAGCTGCGAGGAGCAAGCAAGGTAACCCCCTAGATACTTCACAGGAGCATGGCCCTGCTAGTACTTTGGCTCTGGACATCTGGCCTCCAGAACTGTGTGTGAGAACTACAGTAGTTGTTTTAGGCCACCCACTTTGTGATGATATGTTATGGTGACTCTAGAAAAGCACAACAAGCTGGTGGAAATGTGGCAGGGGGTGGGGGTGGGGAGATGCACCACTGCACACCACTGGGCAAGAATGGGAAGACTGGATTGGCCAGATATGGATGGACAGGGAGGTAGCGCTAAATCACTGAAGTCATCAAAGCCACATTAACAGATCTGGATTGTATATTGAGAGCAGTAGAAACTCACTGGAACAGTTACAGGGAACTGTTCAGCAGGTCAGTTCAGCAGGTCCAGTTCAGGTCAGCAAATATTTATGTAGTGTCCATTATGTGCCTGGCACTGTGCTAGAGGCTAAGAGACTGAGGCTAAGAGAATAATGTGGCTAAGGGAAGTATGCGGCCTAATTCTCTCCTGTTGAAGCATGAGGTGTCCGAGGCCCAAGCACACTCAGTCCTCAGGGTGAAGACACACCCAGTTTTCTAAAACAGATCCCACACTGGGCTGAAGCCAGCTTGAGCAGGCTTCCGTCACTTGGTGATCAGGTGGCCCTATGCTGGGGGTGGGGATTGAGGCTGGGGTGGAGGCATCAGGCAGGCTGAGGCCATGGAAAGAGAAGGGCCAGGAACTGAAGGTGGGCCAGACTGAAGGAGACCTCAGGTCATAGAAACGAGAGAAAAAAGGCACCAGAGAGAGGCTGGGGAGCGCCTGGCCAGGGGGCGCAGGAGCACCGTCAGTGAACTGAGGGGCCAGTGGTTGAGAGACAAGAACCAGAGAAGGAGGGAAGGTCAGTGTCCCCTCTTACGGTCACTAAGAGGTCACCTCCACAATGACCTTCGCAGACAGCTGTCCGGGAAGCTGTGTGGAGGTGGGACCAAGAAGCTTGACTGTGAAAGGAAAGGGATAGGGATGGGGGGGTAGGGCTCCCTGTAAGTTTTTCAGAGGAGATATTTCCATGTGGAAGGGAAGGCGCCAAGGGGGTGGAGTTGTCAGAAGGAAAGGAATAATCCATGGAGCCGGAGCTGTCCCTGAGCAGTTGGCCCCAAGCACAGCATGGGGGAGGGAGGAGCTAGACCTGGAGGAAAGGAAGTCCTGGCTGCCTGCATTCGGGGGCAGGGAATGAGGACAGAAGTCAATGAAGCCCATTGATGAACAGATTGGAAAAAAACAACTAGAAGGGATCCAGGGGCACGGGCTTCATTTTCTCTAGACTAGGAAGCAGGGTCATCTGCGGAGTGATGGGAGCTGGCCTGGAGCGCCCAGAGGACAAGGAGGGGGGACAAGAAATGGGGGCTCTTGGCAGTGCTGGGAGGGAGACCCACATCTGGGTACAGCCTCCCTGTGCGTGGCTGCAACGAAGCTGGGGGCACACAGAAGGGGGACTGTCTCCCCTTCCCTGCTGTTCTTCCAATAGACCCTGCGAGGGCCAGTCTGGAAAGCCGCCTTCCCGGCTGGCTGTCGAGAGGTCCTGCAGGAAACCAGACCTCACGATTCCTTCCCTGTCCTGGTCAGAGGGCTCCTGCGTGAAGCAGCATTCTCCCATTCCTCTCTGCTTGTTTTAATTTTCCAGTTGTCTCTGCCTGGAATGTCCTTTTTTTTTAACCCTGTCAGTGTCATCTCGCTCGTCATTGAACACGGGTGCTGATCTCACATGCCAATTTTCCACCAAGGCCGTGTCAGGCCTCCTGCCCTGGGTCCTGGCCTGTTCTCCAGGCCTCTGACCCTGCTCAGTCCCACATCCCCCTCAGAGCTAGGCCCAAGGCCAGCGGGGCTGATGTCTGCTGAAATAAAACATGGATTCTCTCCCTCAGCAAGACCCTGGGAGGGAGTCACGGTTCTTTCTTTACCAAAGTTGGTCTCCTGGCCAGAGGCAGAGATAGGTCCTTCTGGAAAGTCAGGATCTTGCTTGAGTCGGTTTCAGGTTAAACACTTTATTCATTGATATCACAGCTGAATAGTGTCACCTTCTCTGTTTATATTGTTCTTTTCCTAATACCTTCATATACAATTTTTTAAATAAATCAAATAGTATGCAAATGGCAAAAGAAGCAGTTCAGCGAAGTGCAAAAAGAAATAGGAGGGTCTCCCTCATTCTTCGCCCCTCAACCCCACTCCCTAAAGGCAGCCACTGTAAACAATTCCAGGGACCACTCGAAATTCGTTTTCCTAGCACTTGTGCTCAGATTTTCTTTACGCAGTATTTGTAGGAGATTACAGCATAGATGACTTGTTTTCTATTATTTGTGGATAAAGAGACTAAGACTCAAAGAGGTTAACTGTTTCTGCCCTGGGTAAGGCACTCCTACTCCACCTTACACACACCTTCTGATTTTAATATGTTCAAAAATAGACTTGGCAAGACTTGCTGGGTTTAATTAATGACAGAAAGCTCAGCTCTTAAGAACGCACCGGGTGTATGATGGCAATTACAGAGATTCTGTTGTCATAATAGACTATACGCTATCACACAAAATACCATATACTGTTGTGATTATTATGAGCACAATTATTTCAAAATGGGGTTAACTGCCAAACCTTTACTCTGTCTTCCAATGAGCCCCACCGCTCTTAGGCCCAGTTCTTTCTCACCTCTCAACTGGGATCCTGCTCCTCATAGCTACCCTCAGATGGATTAATGCTATTCAGTGGACTCCAAGTCACTGCAAGCTCAAGTGTTCAAAGTCAAATTCATCAGCCACAACCCTGGTAGGCTCCCCTGGACCTACCAGCCTCCGCTCACTCATGCTGACTCATCCTCCATCATGTTCTTCACATATTAGAGATACAACTCAGGGCTACATGTCTCACTGCACCTTGACATCATCGCCACCTTAATCTTCTTATTTTAGACGCACAATTTAGTTTCCTAAGTAAATCATGTCAAACTCCTGAGGACGCTCTACCTCCAGGCCAATTTCCCAAGATTCATCAGCACGACCCTCCCCAGGCATCACTATTTTGGAGCACCCCCTTCCCATGCACAATTTCACACACTCCCCATGCAGCCTCTCCCCAGTAGACCCTCCCCATCCTGTGTTGGAGAGCTACAGAGCCTGTGCTCCTAGACGAAAGATGAGGGACAAGCACAAAGCTTGATACTAAACATCCTGCAGGATAAGACATGTTGAGAATCCTTTGGGCAATAAGCCTCAACTTTGACAACAAGTGGCAACAGGGGCTTACCTAGGCCCCTTGGTGGATAACACATGGAGTGAACGAAATAATACATGACAATACTAGACAGTCATTTTAAAAAAATGTTAAGTGTGATCCACATGCAAACACTGGATCTATTTAACAAGTATGATGGGGACAGCCTGCAATCTTGTGAGTCATGATGGAAAGGCCTGGGTCAGCTTGACCCTAAAGTTTCCTCCATTCAAATCTTCACAACCACCCCAGTGTCTGTAGACTTAGATTCTTCTTAGGGGAGAAGAGTGGACTTGTTCAAGGTCACATAGTGAGTCCATAGGAGAATCAGTGCTCAAACTCAAGGCTTCTATTTTAAGTCCTGGGTCTTTTCCACAGAGTAAGAACAATGTCCTCTGCCTCCTTTCAGTTGTATGCAAGCTCCCCCCACCCCAATGCTGGGGGATTAGCCAGCCAGAGTAGCCCCTCAGGCTTTTATTGCAAAGAGGTACAGATTGGGTGTGATTTAACTCCAGGCCTTTCCCTGCTCCATGCCCAGGAGTCAGCCCAGATTACAGCTACCTCATCCCTGATCATTGGTGATTCACTCAGTTACACGCCTAGCAAGAGAAGAACACTCAAGAGACACCTTGAGCATGCAAAAAGCATTGAGCGTCCCCAAATCCTGCCTCCACCTTTTGCTTCTCATCCTCCGGGAAGAAAAGGGAACACCTGCACTCACCTGTTCAAGAAGGCATTGCCAAAGGCATTCAGTTTCCGGAAGGGCTTCTTAGGATCCACCACCAGGGCGTTGCCAGGGACAATTCCCTCCACCTCTCCCTGCATCACCGCGATGAAGGAGTCGGTGGTGGGCTCGGGCCCAATCCTCATGCCGGGGAAGTCCTGTTCCAGCAGGTACCTGGCAGAAGGGAGCACAGTCACAATGCAGGGCTCCTGTCTCCATGGGCAGACGAGGGTCACACAGGGGCAGGCCCGGAGCTTGGGCTTTCATGGCAGGGAGAGAGGCTGCCCTCTCAGATAAGACCTCAAATAACTGCGTGGAGGAGGTGGGGTTGCAACTGATCTTAATATAGCAAATCTGTCCTTTTTGGTCCTTATCTTTTTCCCTCCTTGAGCCAGGACAAAGAAAAACAAAAAACACACAACAAAACAACAACAACAACAACATCAAAAAAAACCCAACAATATCTGAGCTCAGAAACAAAGCATGGCCAAGTTTTGAAGACCCCACAACTCGAGGTTGTGAGGGCAGCTGACATGCCCTCAGAAGGCATGGCCAATCCATGCGGTCTGCTCACTTTCCTATTAATTTACCTGGTTAGTCAGTCATTCAATGAAAAAACTGTGCTTATGTGACACAGTGTGAAGTGGATTCCCATCCCATCCTGGACTCTTGGCCCGTCTCTGCACCAGCTGTGACCTGAGGTGGCAGGTTCTCTCTGGCTCTCCTCCTGGGCAGTGAGTCCAAGGCCACATGTCCTTCTCCACAGCCCCCTTTAGAAGCCAAGATCAATATCACATATGAGCCAGAGAATGAAGGGCAGAGCCTGTGAGGACAACCAGGCCATTTGGAAGGAGCTCAGAACAGCTTTAAACCCAAACAGTGTGAGTCTGTTCCCAGGAGAGAGCCCAGAACTGCTGGCTTGGGACTGGCCGGGGGAGAGTCCCCAGGGCCTCTTCCCAAGCCAGCATGGACCAGGAGCTAAGGAGTGACCCCTGAGATGAGCCTCCATCGTGTGCTGGGAGTCTCCTCCTTAACTAAGAGGGCCCGTATTCACTCTTGGAGGGAAAAACCAAGAAGCCCTCAGGGAAGAGGTCAAGTCAGAGTCTGTGAGGTTGGGAAGGGAACCAGGCTATGTCCCGGACCAGTGGTCCTCAGCCCTGGCGCCCCCTGCAGCTCTGGTGGGTGGTGCCTTGGCCTCACCCTAGGTTCTGATCTATTTGCTCAGGGGTGGGCCTTGGCAGCTGGTACTTTTTAGGACTTTTCCTACTGATCTGAATATGCAGGCAGGGTTGACAAACTGCTCTGAACCAATGTTCTCATTTTACTGATAATCATCCCTGACAGGAGCATTTCCACATGTCAGATGTTATACTGATCACTTCGGGAACATTGCTTCCTTCAGCTTCACAGCAGGCATTATTGAGAAATCCAAGACTGAGAAGGGTTATGTGGCTTTCTCCAGCTGGAGTGGACCCAGAATCCACATCCATAACAGCCTAACATCTGTCCTTCAACTGTCTTCTACTCTGAAGAAATGCCTGCCAGAGAGAGGGGGGTCACGGCCCCACTGAAGGCCTGGGCAGAGCTGGGACCTCAGGCCATGTCTGCAGGGCCCACGCTCTGCCTGCCAGAGGTGGGCCTGGAGCAGTAACCAGCTCAGCCTGACAAAGTGGTGGCTGGGGAGACTTGCTGGAGTTTCTTCCAGCTTGTCGACATCTGCTTGTGCCTTGGAGAAGAGCTCCCAGCTGCTAGCTTCTCTGAAGTTCCAGGGCAGGGTTGCCATGGGCTCCCTCCCCAAGGAGCCTGCCTCCTGCCTTAGAGCTGCTGCTCAGCCCAGGAGGCCACCCCGCAGGCACAGGAGGGTTTCAGGTTGCCTCAGGAAAACCCTCATCTCCCTTTGGGATCCAGGCCCAACAATCTGGGTGTGAAGGCAGGATTTCCTCCTGTTGGAAGATCATTTTAAAAACTATCACTTGGGGGTGTGAAGAGAATAAATCCCAACAGCTGCACACTTGAATGGGACTTCCTGCTTCCTTATGCCTTCTCCTTCAGGCCTCCACGAGGGGTGGGAACAGGCAGATCTGGCTTCTCTAAGCATGAGGCACTGGACTTCTGTGGGCCCTACACCCTTCACTTTCACAGGGGAGGTGACAGTTGCAGTGCACCGGGTGCTGTTCTGGACTTCGCATGGATTATCTCCTTTTATCTTCATGTCTCCTCTGATGTGGACACTACACCCTTATCATCAAATGGGCCTAGTAAGAAAAGACACCTCCTAGGATCAATCTAGTTACAGAGCTTAAGACTTAAACCAGCATCAAATTAGTTACAGCCTTTAAGTACTTACATCACTCTTTGATACCCAGATTACTATCCCATTGTATTTGTTATTCATTTTTTAAAGATTTATTTTATTATGCATACAAGAACTGGGGTACAGGCCAGAGGTGTGGGGGATGAAAGGATTTATCAGAGACAGAGTGGGGAACAGAACAGGTAGATCTACTGAAATACACTGCTGAGGGGAGCAGCGGGTGAAATAGGAGAGGTCTGCTGCACCATGTGGGTAGCTCCCTGGCTGGGGATCCTGCGGATAGCTTCATAGTGCTGCATCTTAACCCCTTGCGCCACCAGGGAGGCCTTACTATCCCATTTTAAAGAGGAGGAAAGGCTAAACGAGCTGCCCCACGTTATGCCATCAGTAACGGGCAGGGCTTCTGAATTTGAACTTGGCACCTAGACTGAGAATTCAGGCTCCGAGCCACTACATTCACTGTCTCCTTTCCTGCCTTGACCAAGAAATGCAGCCACTTCTGGGCACAGGCCAAAGCACTGAGGTCCACATGGGCCTGGAAGAAGGAAAGACAAGAAAGCCACAAAGGAACGTGGTTTGGCAGGAGGCTGCCAGGGGTCAAGCTTGGGGGAGAGGTTAGGATGTGGGACCCACAAGCCCAGGAACGCACTCATCTATATGAACATCCACCCTTGGGCTCACAGCTCCACAGCAATGAGTGGGGTGTTGTATGCAAAAGCTGTAGCTATCAGGTGAAGAGAGCAGACCCCAGGCCCACAGGCTCCAAGAGGACATTTTGGGGGACTTAACCTCAGTAGGGCCAGATTCTCCTGGGAAGTACTTTCATGTCAATCAACACCTTGATGGGAAACCCATCTATTTTGCCCGTGTGTGGGAATACCTGCCTGAAAGGACACCTGAGTGAGAAGCCCTATGCAGGACCATGCTGGGGGTGGTGGGTGGGGAGCAAGTGTGAATTCTGGGCAGATGCTGGCTGTGGTTCTCATCAAAGTCTTCGGGGCAGCTGACATAGGAAGCTGAGTTGGAAAGAAACAGTTCTGAACAGCTTTAAGAAGGCCCAGCCTGAACAGGCCACATGGCAGGGATGAAGTATCTTTCTGACACAGGCGTCTCAGATTTCATCCCTAAGAGGGAGACTCTAAGTATCAGCAGATGGGCCAGTATGACGCCTCCCAGCAGAGCAGGGCCACTTCCCCAGATGTCCTGGAGCTGCAGTCCAAGGCTACCATCAAGGGCCTGCTGTCCTGCCCTCTCAGCTAAACCCACAGGACCCCAAAACTTGCTGACCACACATAGGTCTGGAGAAACACAGAGTCTAGTAAAACCACCAGCAAATCCAGGGACACGGTCCAACCAGAGGACCCTGGAGAGGGGTAAATTCGCAGGGACATTTGGGTATGGCTGGCAGCACCGAGTGCCCCCTGAACAAAGCAGTCACTGTGTCCAGAAAGGAAAACTTATTGAGGGAGCTCATCACTGCTTCTCTATGGGAAGTGATACAGATCGCCTTTGTTGCCAGGCAGAAACGTTCCCACAGAGGCATAAACAAAGAAAAATTAGTGCAAGCCTAGGCGGGAAGGGCAGAGAGGGGTACCCACATGAATAAGGGGGGACAGGTGCTGTTTTGGAACATTTACTCAAATTATTCCACTGAGTCAGTCCTATAAATACTGCAGGACAGCAGCTTTATTGCGGTCTTGCAGCTCCCTACATTGAGATAGAGGCGATCCAAGTTCAGGGCCAGATGAGAAAAGTGAGAGGATTTAAGGGCGGAAAAGATTTTGCCATCCAATGCAAAATAATAAGCACTGAATCCTAAAGCAGTGCAAGGAAGTCCAGTGCAATGCCAACTTGCCCCCTGAGAATGAGTTTTCTGCATATTCTTCTTAAGTAAATTATTTCATAACATTTTCCTCATGTTTTTGTGGCCTGCTTTAGTGGTGACCTAAGCACCCAGGGCAAGGCACGGAGCCAAGAATCTTATATTCTGCCTCCAAAGTACCCATCTCTAAGAAAGTGAAAATCAAAATCAACAAAAAACTATGAACCAGAGACACTTTTTGGGGGTGGGGGGCGGGAGGGGAAGGATTGGGGTCAGAATGGGGCGTTTGCAATTGTATGGGGGAATATAAAAATAAAATTTAATATTTAAAAAAAAAACAAAAAACAAAAAAAAACAACAAAGTACCCATCTCTGCCACAGTGGGGCCAGAACTCAGGCTGCAGACCTCAGGCTGCTGCGGAAGGCACCCAGCCAGGGCAGGGGGGCGGGGGAAGAGAGGGGAAGGCCCCACAACAGTGCTGGGGGTGGGGGAGGAAGCAACTTCATGGGTGGTGGTTTGAGCAGATATGGCCTTGGACACAGCCCTAAAGGCCACTGCCTCAGTGTCCCTGGTTTATAAAATGGAGATAATAGTTGTTTTCTAGTGAGGTCAGAAGAATAGAATGAAGGTTTTGAGATGATATATGTGAGGTTGGGAAAAACAAAGATTACGTGCCCAGACAGGCAGAGAGAATAATTGGGGAAAAGGGACACCTCAGAGTTGCCGCTAAGAACTCAGCACATTGCTACCTAATCTCCAAACCAGCCCCAGCGCACCTCCCTGCCTCCTCCTCCCAAGCCTTAACTGATTCATTACCACCTCACTCTCTTCCCTGAAAATCACATAGCTATTAATTTGTGTATCTTCGGGGAATGCTACTTTCTGGCTTGTATTATTATAGACATTTGCTTATATATCTACATTTTTAGTCTCACTAAGCACTGGGGACTCGAGCTTTAAAAAGGGGTTCAGACAGTAATTTCCACCCTATTGGCCTCACAGGACTTTAGAGAGACCCTGAAGCACCCCACAGACACCTAGGGAGGGAGCAGATGGGAGCTACTACCCAGCACTGCCTGTAGAGTTTCCCAACTCCACGGCCAGTTGAGGTCTGAGTCAGCTCAGTGCTCCTGGGAGCAGCCTACCCCATGGGGTAAAATGGCCCCACACAAAGTCCAGTGGCCAGATGGAAGTTTTCCCTGGTGCCTCAGGTTGTCTGCCCCTGCCCTGTGGCAGGCCCTGTTTTGTCCCTGCTCTGCCCCTGCCCTGCCCGGCCTCCCCAGTTCTGTTTCATGCTCCTCCTCCCACCCTGGGAGGTGGGAGCCAGGCTCCTTCAGGCTGTACATACTGCCTCCTTCTCTTCTCCCTGCTTCCCACACTGGGTGTTGTGCCCATAGGGCTTCCCACCTTCCTGAGGGCCAGCCTGGAAGTTAAGAGAATCCACTAGAAAAAGAGGGCAAGGCACAGCCTCAAGTCCAGTGCGAGGAACAGAACAGCGCTCCTGCGAACAAGCCTGAGAATGTGCTTTCTAGTCACGTTAGAGACAAGGAAACTGAGGCTCAGAGCAGTCAGGCCTTGATCACGAGGCCTCTTGGCTGCTACCTGTGTGGCCTGGACTCTGCTGAGCCAGTCTGTGTTCTTTCCAAGGTCCCACCACACTGGCAATAGGACCAGGAAGGAGTCTGTCTTCCAGAGGCCCTTCTCGCAGAAAATCTTCTGCCGAGGACTGCAGACAGCTGATTTTCAAGGAAGATCGTAAGCTGGGCCTGAGGCAGGGTGACATAGTTCCTCCATTCAAGGGCCGTCTGGTTCCTTGAGTAAAACTTAGGCCTTGAAAAAGGCCCTAGCCCCACTCAGGGACCAGGTCAGAATCCTCAAGTCCTTTAACCCCAGAGGGCAGACAGGAGAGAGCTGGTACAGGGATTGTGGCTGGCAGGATGGACTTTGCAGAGGTCAGTGGGTTTATCTGGAGTCAGGGGGTTCTTTGTCAGCTTTTTTCAGCTTTCCAGAGAATCATCTTCTTTTATGGGGTGATAATACTGTAATGCTCAGGGTAAGGCCTGGCTGACGGGGATGCCAGGGAGGTGACCATATGGTGCAGCCACAAGCAAATGCCAACTCACTGTTGGAGGAGGACATAACAAGGCCCTGAAGAAATTGAGGAGGTCAAAAGGACCTGCTGAATAGCCTCCCACCATACCTCCACAACCCTTTCTCCAAGTATTCATACTTCGGGATCCAAGTCATGTTATAGAAAGCCCACATGGTCCTTAAGACCAGCCAGGCATCCTTGAGAATATAGCCAGACCAGGCCCCACACCCGATTCTCCTGTCCCTGCTCCATGGCCCACTAGGCCTGCCTTACCACCTGTGGGTACTCTGGCCTTCCTCAGTCCCTGAAACTGGTGCCAGGGAGGAGGGACTTGAGGCTGCAGGCCAGCCAGAGGAGGAGAGAGAGGAGAAAAATAGCAGAGGCAGGAGGAAAGGCAGCCAGCCACAGGGACACAGGGCTACTGTACTCCAAAGATGCAGCCCGCGTGGGAAGGAGGGCCACCAGGCCAATTTATTGTTTATTTTATTACTCTGGGTTGCTGGGCCTTAGGCCAGGGGAGTTATTTCAGGCAGAGATCATAGCACATTAATTAGTTATTAGAAGAATGTTCTT